TCTAAAAATTATAATCAAGTGGAAAATAATCAAGGACCCAGCACATCCTTCACAATGAAAATTTATCACTGTCCTTGCTTGTTAGGCAGAGTACTTAACTTCTCAAAAGTCTACCTTCTTGTTCTTCATGTTTTTTGTGTGAAATTATACCGATTGACTGAGGAAACTACTCAGCAGGATGATCAGAGCTATCACTACACGCTAAGAGCTGACTGAAGGGTTAGGTATACCTGCCCTGACCTCAAGACACAGTGATGAGCTGCCTTGATGATCTAGGGGATATCACGGTCATCTCAGAACTTTATGTTCACTTTGGGGCACTTCTAGCTCAAAATCGATTTACCAATCTTGAAAGAATCCACAACAGTTTGTAGAGGGAGATGATTCCCAGGGCAAAGGCCATGCCCTAAAGCCTCCCTGTGAGGATTAGTCACAAACACACAAAGCTTAAAGTTGGAACCTAACAGGCAATTAAAACTTTAATAGAAGAATTATGCACCAATCAAGCCAGCATTAATCCAGGAAATTACAGAGTGCTGAATCTGGACGGCACCTCAGAGATGCATTCTAGTTCTCTCATTTCACAGAGGGATAAATTAGGTTCGCATTGGCTAGAGACTCTCTCTGACTGCAGAGCTGGCAGGGGCAAACCAGATAAATCTACATATCGTCTTGTTCTACAGTGATAGAGGCCCTGCAGTAGCCAAGTGTGTGGTCATTTCCAAGTCTTGTTTCATTTACTGAATATAATAGAATATTAACAGTTTCAGTTACTGGATATAAAATTATATTAATATATGTAAAGGTATCAAAGGTATTAGAGGGCTATTTTTATTATTTCTTATAAGGATGAGCATAATTCAATAAATTTATAGCTAAATTTAACTTGATATGCATATTTTGACTTTCCTTTGAAACCATGTGTACCTCTCCTGGTTTTGGCTGAGACATTTGTAGGCATCTCAGAAAGCCTGTTAGCAAGACTTGTACAAACCCACCATAGTCTTTCTCACAACTGACTGTGTTTTTTGATGTGTCATCCCCACTGCTCCGAACTTTGGGATGTTTGGGAGCAGACACGCCTTTTAGCACCTCCCATATTTATTGTTTGTTTGTTTATGGAGTCCTTGATGCACACCATTGTATTCTGTAAAAGAAGTAAAACAAAAGAATTTGTGTAGTTGTCTCTGAGTCTGAAGTGGCCTTCAAATCAGTACATGACCTTGACAGCGCTTGTCCTCCTTGAGCCTCAAACACCATATTTGCAAACTTGCAAGAGGGGCACCCAGAGTCAGTATAGTACTGCAGAGAAGAATGTTTTGATTTGCTGCTAGGAAACTCCTAGTCATCACAGTTGTCCATTGGCTTGCTGCTTTTGGAAATATAACTCCTAAAAGGGGGGAGAAGTTAAATATACATTTCATGAGCATTTATGGGAGAAATGAGCCTAGAAATACTAATTCAAACCCTGGAAGAACAGACTAAAAATTCTTCTAAGATGTAGTGATGCCCCCCCACTTTGCTCCATAAAACATCTATGGGGTTCCCAGGGCTACTTGTGCAGCACAAGATGGTGGACAGAGCATGCTGGGCCCAAGCATGACATCTTAGAAACTGCCAACACTACAGAAATAGAACAGCTTGTTTGATCTTCTCTGGCCTACCCTTTAATTAAGCGTGTTTTATTACACTGACTTATTCATCTACCTACTCGGGGCGGTTGCGTTGCTGTGGCACACACCGTGGGGTCAGATGATAACTTGCAGGAATCGGCTTTGCTTCCACCGGGTGGGTTCTTCCGCACCTTTATCTAATGAGCTATCTGCTGACCCAAGCCCACTGACATTCGAAGACCTGCACATTGCCCGTATCCTGCTTAACCACAGGGGAAAGAAATGGGGCAAGGAGAGGCCAGAAGCGATAAACAAGCAAGCCCAGCTTCTCCACTCCGTTTGACTCCACCCTCCTCATGCCCAGCAGGGTTTTTGGCGTAGCTGTCCATTTGCCAACGAATCTAAGATTAAAACCTCAAGGTTTCTGCGTCTGGCCCCACGCAGAAACCTTGAATTCTTACGCTTAGATATGAGGGAATGTCATGCAGCAGCCTGAAAGCAGGGGTCCTGCTCCAACCTAATACGCCAGACTTTTGTCGACTCTCCACAGGAACCCTGACCTGTTGGGAGGAGTGGATGGGGAATGTGCTGGGGGCAGGGGTGGGAAGAAGGGTGGGAAGGAGAACTTTGGTTAGAAAGCAAAATGAAATAAAAAAGTAAATTTATTTTAAAAATGTCACCAAAAAAAGAATTCAAGATATATCTTTATTCTGTGAAGCTTTTATGCACGGAAGACCTGGGGTAATTAAATATACTAGACCTTTCTCGTTAGTCCGTGTGTTTTGTTATAGTGTCCTCCATAAGACTCGCAACAGGTGGGACAGGGGCCATTCCCTTTTCTCCTCTGCATACGTGAACACAAGACAGGCTGGATGTGGCCTTCAGGGTTGCGGCTTCACTTGTTTGCATGCCGTGGTACTTGAACGCCAAGGCAATGGGAGTAACAACAGCTTTCCTATCTCCCTTCTGGGGTTACTGTACAATTGATAGGTTTCCACCAATATGGGAATTAACGTTATCAAAACCAAACAATGCGGCGTTATTAAAATACTTAAGCTGTGTTCTCACGTTCAGCTACATGGACCACCTCCTGTGTGAGCACGCTTAACGGTAGTGGAAAGGCTAGCATATCACCATCTGCTATGTTTGGCTGCAGTTAATACCTGGGTTGGCAAGCGTGCAATCGCGTGTAGGTTTAACACACTTATCTATTAAATGATACACCCCCACGTTTCTCAGGATCATCACAAAGTCTCAGATTTACGATCCATTGCTCGTCACTTTGTCCACAGAATGGTACTATTCTCTGTCTCCATCTGAACAAAACATACCTAATTGATATGTCGTACTTGCCAGCTGCGTAATAGCAGCATGTAACAAAGCATGTAGCAATAACGTTATGATTTTCTAGTTCACGAGTCTGTGCAGCGACGGGAACAGAGCTGGGTGAGGGAGGCCGGATCTGATTGGCACTGATCACATGTTTGTGTCTACTCCCTACTTCCTTCTTCTCTGTAGGCCAGAGAAACACGCTCTTCACTTGGGGGGAAAAGTAGAACAACCCTAGAAACTCCACAGATAAACTGACCCTCCAATACAACAATATCATTTGTGATGACATAGCCAAGCCTATGAGCAGTGGAGAAGAGAAACAACATTTTCAACAAATGAAGGGTTCACATTCTATAAAACATGTTTTTAATAGAAATTTTCAGTGATTCCGAGTTGGGTTATCAAAGTAACTGTTTCGATGGTTGAAGATTATTATAATTTAAAAATGTCTCATTTGTTTGACTGGAATTTAGCTTACTCTGTTTTTCTCTAATTAGACTTTAAGTTCTCCTGGAAATTAGTGTATTTTGTCCTACATAAGAATGTCCTTTCGAATAATTGAGATAAAAGTTCCACTTTAATGTCCCCAAAGTCTTTAGAAATTACCCCAGCAGTTCATTGTCCAAAGTCCCTAGAAACGAACAACTTGGTTAGCAGAAAAATCAAAATACAGAAATTGAATGTCAAATCTAATGACTTACTCACTATCAACACCTTATCATTCATAAGTAGCTATACAAAAGAGATGAAAAATTAAACTTGTTTTGTTTTGGTGCTGGGATCAAACATAGCTCTATAACATCTACATTTAAGTTTTAAATCATTAAGTTCAAAAACAATAGTAGAAGCAAGACAACTGTGTCCATAACAGAGCTTAAACCCTAATGATTTCTGTTGCAATCCAGCACCTTTATGATTTTATAATATTCCCTTTAAATTTGTCTCACCATTTGGCCTCAGTATTAAAATTAGAATTTTAAGATGTTTGCTTTTTTGCTACAATAAAATGTCACTTTTTCTGCTAAAATTTATTTGAAATGAAATGTTTCCTAATATTCCCTTTTGTGTATGTGTGGAGGGAGAGGCATGGGCCACTCACACTCTAGACAAGCAGGCTACCACTGGGTCCTGCTTCACCCCATACCCCTCCTTCCCACAATATAGATGAGTCTTGTTTCGATTTAACGTGCCACTTACATTTACTGCCTATTCCAGCAAAAGCAGATACATTTCCACTCATTGTGACTTCTGGTTTGCTTATGTTCATAGTTGTATATTCTGCACATGGATTTCTTAACTTATTTTTCAGGGTTTTTTTTCTTTTTATGTGCATTACATCGCATTAAAAACCTCTTATGTCGTCTTCCCGCATTACTCTGCTTATTTTCAATTTTTATGCATTGCATCTGGCACTTAACACTCGGGTTTATTTTAACAATTATCTGAAAAGTATGAAGCTAGACAAAGCATCCACCCTCCTACACAGCAAGAACTTTGACATGGGTATCTATGATGTATTTCTTCATATTTTTCTTATAATTATTATACAGTACATTTATTCTGTTTGCTTTGTTTATTTTTTGAGAATTATTACATAATTTACACCCCTCCCTCTCCTGCTTCCAAATAGAATTTCTACATTTGAGGAAAAATAATAAGCTATTTTCTTAATTTTCTAATTTCATTGGCAATATGTAATTTTATACTTAGACTACCAAGGGAAGTTTTAAACATGATTCACCTTTTCAAATCAATTCTTTTTCATGTTTAATCTTCTGTTGATATTACAAATTTGTTCTCTTGTTTATAGTGTTAAATCTATCTATTTTACAGTCCGTGTGCATGAAGTTAAACACAACATTATCTGAGATTGGCTAGGTTTATTAAACATATCATCTAAACAACAATTAAGGAGACGAAAGCCATAAATTCAATAGACCGTTAGAGACGGTTGCATGGGAGGTGCTGAAGGGAGGAAAAGGAGGGTGAAATCATGTAACTGTATTATACTTTCAAAAATAAGACGAGCATTATTTTTAAAAAAACATTATCTACCTGACCAGCAGTGTCCAAGATGTCCAAGTAAGCAGGCTCATTGTCGATCCTTACCTGGGTTTTGTAAGCATCTTCTGCAAAACAGGAAAAAGTTTCATTTATGTTTTTTCCACACAAAAGCTGTGGTTGAATTTGAAGTTTTATAAAAGGATGCTCTATCTAACTTCTTGATACATTGTTTAAATAACATATTATAACATGCATTCTTCCCACCAGCCTGGTCCCAGAGCTGCATCAGTCCCAAATGAACACGCAGGATGCTATATTAATTATAAAGCTGTTGGTCGTTTGCTATGGCTTCTTAATAGTTAGCTCTGACTTAATTATTAACCCATAATTACTAATATATATTTTTATAAGGTCTTATCTTACAGAGGACACAACCTCATGTGTCCTCTCTTCTCTGGATCACCTGGTGACCCTCTACTCTTGATTACATTTCCCAGAATCCTCCTAAACTCCTAGTCCCACATATCTTGCTTCCCTATTGGCCAACCAATATGACATTTATCAACCAATAGGACAGCATACACACAGAAGGTCTTTCCCCATCAACATATGAAGAAAGCAAGGAATATAACAGTGTTGATAGTGAAACCTATAAATGTTTTAGAATAAAACAAGGAATGCTGGGTGTGGTGACACACACTCCCCAACACTGGGGAGACAGAGGCAGGAGGCGGCAACCTGTGAGTCTGAGGCCTACCTAAACTAAGTCAGGAGTGACAGGCCAGTCAGGGCTAGAGAGACAGCTCGGTGCTTAAGAGACTTTGTTCTTCCAGAGCTCACTCACAACTATCTGCAAGTCTAGTTTCAGGGGGTATGAGGCACTGCATATACACAGTGCACACATACACATGCAAGCAAAACGTTCTACACATGACAATAAATACATCTCCCCAAACAAAAAGCAAAGCACACATGGAAAAATATCATGATAGTGGATTTGGCAATTCATTCTTACATATGTTAACAAAAGCACAGTCCACAAAATTATAGAAGCATTTATGTTTCTGATATTCACAGCCGAAGAGATCTCTTTGATATTTCCTGAGAGAAGGAAGGCAGAAAAGTACCACATTTTCATCATAGGAAATACTGAGTATATATGTCTATCGATCATTGAATAAAGGTAACTAACATATTTGCCTGGGTCTGAAGCCCTGGACAGGTCTCTGAATGTCTTCCTTTATTTACATCCATGTATGTTCTTATGGTGCTTAACCCGCCACAACATATTGCAGCCCGTTTAAGTGTATCAGCAGGCTAATGCCATCTGGTATTTCCTGGACCTTAGGCTCATGGATTCCCAAAGTTCATATTTTGCCTTGCTCACTGTTTATATTGTAAAGAAGGAGCTGACAGATCCATCGCCAAAAAAGCATTTTGAGTATAGCTTCAGGGACATCAATAACTATCATGTTGCTGCTTTTAAAGCAAAACTGGACAAATGAATTATTTTAAAATACCCATATTCTTGTAGTAGCGGTGATCAACCACGGAAGATATTTTTCCCGTGTGAAGTGCTGGGAACCTCCCACACATTACAGACTTGTTTGGTCGGAAAGAAGGGAGGACGCACGTGCATGTGCACACACCCATGTGCGTGATGCCCACAGACACAGAAGTGTAAAGACAAAAGCCAAAGCACACTCAATATTGCACAATCACAGGAATTTTCAGTTTTTTATCCCATTGCTTTTTTTTAGCCACTATTGCCTCTTTATAAAGACGGTATCTGTGGAATCACTGCTTTCTTTTTAATTTGGCGGGTACATGGGTTATTTTCCAGTTTCCTAATGGAGGAGCAGTTACTCCACGTGAGGGTCACAAGTGAACCTCAGATTGCATGCTTGTTTATTTAAACGTGGAGGCTGGGGAAGCAGCCTGCAGAGGTTGGGGTTCTGAGTAACCAAGGCTGGGGCTTTCTGTGAGACCAACTGATGCAGTGACAAGCCAGCACCTGGGACACGCATCAAACAGAAGCCTCTTTCAAGATCAGAAACCTCTTCAAAATGAATAGATGTGAACCAGCTGGAAACGAAAATCAGGCCAGAAAAGCCACGGCTTTTTTTTTATACATGCCCATCCATGTATACATTCTAGTATGGGAAATCTGGGTCACCTTCCTGGCCTGAATAGAAGCTAATCCCTTTCATTTCCTCTCCATAAACAAGCTTTCTTTCAGCTCTCATTCATCCACTCCCTTTGAGGCTACCCATGCAGAAACGGCCTGTCAGAAACACTCTGTTGAATGCATACATACACTTTCCTGCATTTCAGCCATCTGCCTATAGTGCCTACCCTGAAGTGAGCTCATTTATCTTCCCAAGCAAAAGGCTAAATGTACACAAAGCTTCTTCAAGAAGAAATGATCACAGCTCCCTACTACATTCTTTAAACAGAAAAGCACAATAGGACTGCATTCTTGGAGGTACCTACCAACTTAAAATTCATCTCAACATGCTGATATTTAATGTGAAACCAGAGTATCTGTTCTTTATTCTGCTTCTACAGCAGAATTTTATAAACTAAAACAATAAAGGCTTACATTAAAGCTTTTAATCTATCACAATATATGTATGCTGTGCTGGTCAGCCAGTTACTTTGTTTGCAAAGGGTACATAAAGACCAAGACCTCTTACACGGTTCAGCAGAGGACCACACACCATAGTACATTGGAAACAAAGAAGTACAACTCACATTCAAGATACAATATGCTGTGACTTTTTAACCAAAACTATATGAAATTTAAATCATGTCTGCTATTTCTGTTTGTACATATTTAAATGCATATTTACCAAGCAGAATATCATGCAGGATTAGCAGGATATATTTTCAATAATCATCAAATGTATTTTTGGTCAAGTCAAAATTCATGGAGTATTCTGGAGTATAGATCTCTTAATTCTTTCCCAGAAAAGTGCATATTTATTTAAGTAATTTAAAAATATTTTAGTTGAAATATTGAGGCCATTTAAAGCCATAAAATATGTAGTTGAGAAGATATTATTGAATTTTTGCTACATGATTTTAACATATTATAATATCTGAATACTTCTTTCATCATTTACTGCTCAGACCAAATTATATTGTTGATAGTATTTCTCTGAAACGGTTTTTCTATAAATTTGAGCCTGTGTAAGTCTCTAAGATAACAACTGTTGACCCAATATTTTTTATTTTATGTTTTTATTAATCTATACATTTTCCTGACTCCCCTTCCCTCCTCTCCTCTCCCTTTCCAGCTTCCTCCCTTTCCCCCCCCCATGCTCCCACTTTGATTACATTGCCTTTCTGGGTGTGGGTTACCTCACTGAGGATGGCGTTCTCTAGTTCCATCCATTTACCTGAAAATTTCAAGAAGTCATATTTCTTTACAACTGAGTAGTACTTTATTGAGTAAATATGCCACATTTTCCTTATCCATTCTTCAGTTGAGGGGCATCTAGATTGTTTCCTGGTTCTACCTATTACGAATAATGCTACTATGAACATAGTTGAACAAATGTTCTTGTGGCATGAATGTGCATCCTTTGGGTGTATGCCAAAAACTGGTATTGCTGGGTCTTGAGTTAGATTGATTCCCAATTTTCTGAGAAACCACTATACTGATTTCCAAGTTTGCGCTCCCACCAGCCATGAAGGAGTATTCCCCTTACTCCACATCCTCTCTGCATAAGCTGTCATTAGAGCTTTTGATCTTGGTCATTCTGACAGAAATATTTTTAAAAGGGAATAAATAACACAAGGCTCAACTAAGGTATTTTGGGGCCTTTCTCAGAGGTCTTCTTACATAAATCTTGTCCATTGTACATGTGAGAGTGAGCACACACACACATACACACACACACACATACACACATGTAGAACTTTAGCAAGTTCTGAAAACTGTCTTGAAAGGAGGAGGGGAGGAACAAGAAAAAGAAATAAAAACAAAACAAAAGGGAAGGAACCTAAATTCTGAGACCAAATGTGAAAGTCAAATTGACTGATTTTCAGTGGCAATGGGGAACTTTCAGCAGGAAAGGGGGCACATGTTTTGCATGCACACATACAGAGAAGTACTTGGAAATGGGCAGCACTAACTCTTCTATCTTGATTAAACACATGGGACACAACATGGGCACAAGTGTGAATTTGCATTAATTTGATTATCAGCAATGAATTAAGTCTATAATATTGAAAAGTTATCAATTGAATCTACTCCCATGGAGTTTACAATTTGAGGGAAATGCATAAAAAGAAGCAGACAATCACACTATACACTGGTAAGTGTTCTATCTCAAACTCTTAGAAGTAAATTTATTTGCCCAGAAAGCAAAGATCACTTGTAGGATTCACTGTTGAGCTTGATTACTCCTTGGAAGTTTCACACAGAAAACCATGAGGAAGGCTGAGGTTTCTGGAGGAGAGAGATAAAATCCTTAAAATTATGATATAGCCCTCCTCATGAACACAAACTTTCTGTAAATATCCAGAATACTTAAGGTTACTGGCTGTGAAAAGGGTTTTGAAAGGAAGCTCAGTTTAGTTTATAGAATGAATCAGGATAAGAAAGGAAGCCCATCTCTACATTGAACAGGCAGAGGCCATGTTGTTATGAAGGTCTGAACCTTGGGCTCTCAGAGAAACTAGGAAACACTTTGGATTGTTTTCCCAGTTTGTAGCAGTGAGGATGGAATCTGGTTTATTTAGATTGGTGAGGATTATGTTTGAGGTACACACCTCAAATGTTTTCCTAAACATAAAGTTAAATGTTAAAATGTTTTCCTTAGCACAAAGATGTGTTCTTGTAGGGGAAGTTAGCAACACCCAGATCTACCTGCTACCAGTATGACGATGTCCTACTTATGAAAAGTCTGATGCCAAGACAGTAGATTGACACATACCCGAGGGTGAGCCAACAGCCTGCAGTAGATTGACACTCTGTCTCTATCCCTGATTCGTATTTGACACTAACATCAGGCTCAATGTGCTAGCACATTCACTGAGACTTAAGGACTCTGCCAGGAAATAGAAATGTGCAGAAGTCTTCTCGTGGGAATATCATCCTGAGCCAAGTCTTCTCTCA